CCGCCCACTGCCCACCTGCCGCCCGCTGCCCACCTGCCGCCCGCTGCCCACTGTCACCTGCTGCCTGTTGCTGCCCGCTGCCCTCTGCCGTCCGCCACCACCCACTGCCCACCTGCCGCCCTCTGCCCACTGTTGCCCGCTGCCCACCTGCCACCCACTGCCCACCTTCCGTCCACTGCCTACTGCTGCCTGCTGCCCTCTGCGGCCTGCCACCGCCCGCTGCCCACTGCCATCCACCCACCTGCCGCTCATGGTGCTTCCCGTGGATCTCCACGAAGTCCCCCAGCACCTTGACCACGAGGTCCTCGGGGAAGAAGTGCTTCACATCCAGGAAGATGAGGAACTTGTCCCCGTCAGAGTGGACCTGAGAGGGGCCGGACCTCACTCAGCAAGGGCCCCCGGGGGCGCCCTCAGCACAGCAACGCCGATCGCCATGGCCACCCGTCCACACCAGGGCACGGAGCCCCAGCCCCGGGCCTGGCTGGCCCCTGCCTCCCCGAGCCTGGCCCAAGGGGCCCCCCCGGGGTGGGCTTGCAGCCACGTGCCCACTGGGCCCAGCTGGGCAAGCCCAGGCTGTGAGGTCGGGCTGGTCACAGGCTGCTGGCTGCTGGCCAGCCCGGTCGCTGCCTGGTGTCGCCTGACCCTCCAGGCCAGCCCGGCCCTGCAGCCGCATGTCCCCACTCGCTGCCTGCCCAAGAGCCTCAGGGCACTCTCGGTTCTGCGCTGACCACCCAGCACCTGCTTAGGGCAGGCCTGTGTCGGGCAGGGGGTGGGGGCCAGCGCCCCAACTGCGGCCCCGGCCAGTGCCGCCGCCCACCGAGGAGCCCTCTGGGGCCCCTGCGGCTGAAAATGGGCCTGGGGGGGGCCTCCTGCCTGAGGGCCGAGGGGCCACGCCCCAGCTGCCCAGAGGGGCCGTCCTGCTGCCCTGGGGCTGTTTCAGGCCTCCAGCCACCGGCTGCAGCCCCGCCGGGGTGAGGGACCCCACGAGCACCGCCTGCTGGCCCTGGCGCCCGCAGGGCCCACCTCGGAGACACCCGAGTCCGGGGCGCTGCGGAAGAGGGGTGGACGGCAGCAGGGGCTGAGGGCGGAGGCCGGGAGGGGCGGCAGCCGGTGCGCGCAGAGGCCCTCGCCGAAGAGCTGCTCGCCCAGTCGGCTGCGGTAGGAGGCGCCCGGCACCGGCCTGGGCCGGGGGCCCTGCCCGGCAGCGTCCATGGCGGCCGGCACGTGGGGGCAGTGTCTGCAGCGGCCGGCGCCGGCCTCCCTATATAGGCCTCGGAAGAATGGCCGCATTAAGGGATTTCCCCGAAGCGGCGCTCACCGGCTGCCCAGTCAGCAGGCTGGCGCTGGGCTGACGGCGCACAGCCCGGGGCTGCAGGAGGTCTCCGCCCACACTCGGGGGGCGCTCGGGGGGCCCCTCATCGGGGTCCCTGCTCCTGGGAGCCCCACATCACGGGGGGGCACTCACGGGGGAGCCCCCTCTTTGGGGCCCCCGCTCCTGGGAGCCCCACATCACGGGGGGGCACTCATGGGGGAGCCCCCTCTTTGGGGCCCCCGCTCCTG